AAATTTGATAGTAACAGCTCTGAGATAGAGGACATAGAAAGAAAACAGGAAATGACCTTCTTCTAGTGACCAAGAGAAGGTCTAAAGATAGTAGCTGGACCCCAGGGACTAGAGGAAGTATGGTGAGCTAGCCAGAAGAACAATCATGGGAGAGTCAAGGCCTAGAAGTCTGCTGATTAAAAGGAAAGGACAAAAATCTGCACCTGGAAAGGATCAATTGCTATTTTAAAGCTAAACCATAAACTGTGACACATTCACAGTGGGACTAAGTGTTTTAAAATTCAGTTAGGCTGACCCAGTGTGAAACTGTATTTAATGATAATACAGCTCAGCTGTATATAACGTGTATCCCTGTAGGGAAGTTATATTGTGTCTAACTGTGTCTACTGTTTTGCATTGCATATATAATCGATATCCCTATTTGAAGGAAATATCACCAAATAAACTAGAAAGAATGGAGGAAAGGAAAAGAACTTTGAGAAAATCTCCTCCCATTTTATTTGTACGTTGTAGCAGCCAAAAGAGAACCTAAAATTACTTGGTAGATTCTTTTGGGGTGCTGTGCCCTATTCATAGAAGGAAAGGGCTAGCAGACATGGTAAAAGTAAAAGATAATTTTTATCCATGCCAACATCTGGCAATATGACTGAATATCTGTTTTATTCACTCCACAGATACATTAAAATAGGTGATAAAGAAGTGGAATACCATCCCAATTTCCGCCTAATCCTTCACACCAAGTATTTTAATCCACATTATAAGCCTGAGATGCAGGCTCAGTGCACCCTCATCAATTTTCTAGTAACTCGGGATGGGTTGGAAGATCAACTTTTGGCTGCTGTCGTGGCCAAAGAGCGACCAGATCTTGAGGAACTGAAGGTAACATTGATTGGGATAGTAAAAGAAGTGTGGGAAAGGGAGCTAGATGCTCACAAAGGAAGGCAGAAAGGAGCAGCAAAACTGAGGGAAGAAGCATTGTGAATTATAGTTAACCATGGTGGTTACACACCCAGCCTGCCTTCTTACCTTTCTGTTGAATGTGGTCATCTCATCAAACTTAATCATATTTTCACTTATAACAGAGTGAGTCACTTCTTTCCCATTTATCTTGTCATCTGCCTCACAAATGTAATTCTAAATTAAATGGCTACTTCATTTGAAAGGACAAGATCACAGTAATGACAATTTGTCTCCATATTCCTCATATCAGACTATTCACTTTAGCAGTGCTCTAGTGCTCTAAGCTGGATGATTGCACTTGGTTCCTAATCAGTATCTCTGAATCAGCTCCTAATCTATAGCTCTGTCTCTCCTTCCTCTAACTTATCCTCTACATCACAGCCAAAATTATCTTCCTGAAGCATTGGTCTAACCATATCAACTCCCAGGGATCAAAAATCTTCAGTGACTGTTGCCACTAAGATAAAAACAAACTCCTCAGTTCAACATTTAAAACCCTCTAGAACCTGGCTCTAGCCTTCCTTTCTAGACTTATTCTATACTACTTCAGAAACAGCTTGGAGCCTGGAATCAGGAAGACCTGAGTTCAAATCCAGCCTCACACACTCAATAGCTGTGTGATCCTGGGCAAATCACTTTACCTCTTCACCCCAGTTTCCTCAACTATAAAATGGGAATCATAACAGCACCTATCTCACAGGGTTGTTGTGAGGGGGAAATGAGACAATATTTGTAAAGCAACACATATTAGGCACTTAAATACTTATTCCTTTCCCTTTCCCTCCTCCTCAATAATCTTTCCAGCCACATTGGACTACTTGCTATTCTAAGAACTTAGCATTACATCTTTTATCTCTTTGCCTTTGCATAGGCTGTCCTCTATCCAGAAAGCATTTCCTCTGCATCTTGGCCTATTAAAACCCTAAGTTTCCATCCAGGCTCAGCCCAAATGCCACCTCCCATGCTAAGCCCTCCTTATACTTCCTTAGTGCTGTCTCCTTCCATGACCCCATTTGGGGTTTCCTGGCCAAGATACTGGAGTAGTTTGCCATTTCCTTCTCCATAACTGAGGCAAACAGGTTAAGTGACTTGCCCAGGGTCACACAGCTAGTAAGTGTCTAAGGCCAGATTTGAACTCATGAAGATTAGTCTTCCTGATTCCAAGCTAATTGCTCTATCCACTGTATCACCTAGCTGCCCCCTCAAAATTATTATGTATTTACTTATTTGTTTACATGCTCTCCAGTAGAATATAAACTCCTTGAGAGCAGGTGACATCTTTGTGCTACCAACACCTCACATAATGCCTTGTACATAAGTACTTAATACATGTTCAATTCCTTCTCCTGGCCTTCTTCCTCACCTGCTGAACTTCAAAACCATACCTCCTCTACATCCTGGAGCCTTCTTGCCCTGGAACAGCTGCCATCTCTGTAGCCAGCTCACCTTGAAATATCTCTCCAGAAGGCCTGACCCCCTCCCCCCAATGGTGAGCTCCTCCTTGAGACTCAGTTTTATGGAAGGGCCCAGGCCAGCTTGCCTAAATCCCCCAGGCCTTGTTCCTAACTGCTGGTCTTTAAAATCATGTCCTCAACCCTCATAACCCCACTCCCCTGCTTTTTGGCTCCCTTTTGTGTATGTTGTCTTCCCCATTAGAATGTAAGCTTTTTGAGGACAGGGATTGGGTTTTTGTTTTTGGTTTGGTTTTTTTTTTTTTGCTTGTATTTCTATCTCCAGCACTTAGCACAGTGCCGAGCATATAGTAAAGACTTAATAAATCTTTCCTTCCCTTCCTCCCTCCTTTTTCCCTTCTTCCCCTCCCTTCTTCCTTCCTTCCTTCTTTCCATACTCCCTTCAGTCCCTCTTTCTCTCCCTCCCTTTCTCCTTTCCTCCCACCCTTTCTCCTTTCCTACCTTCCTCCTCTCCCTCCCTGGTAGAAAGTAGCCACTTTTCTGGGAAAGTGCCTTTCTCTCTGTGGTTAATCTGATGCAAGGCCAAATTTGGATGGAGAATTACATTTTATATCACCATAATTTTCTAATATATCCCTTCTCTCCCCTTCCTAGAATTCTATCCCTTCCAGTGAAGAATAAAAAAGAAAGAAATAATTAAATAGTTCAGAAAAACTAATTAATGCTTCCATCAAATCTGTTAGTATAAATAGAATTCTAAATCCACAGGCCCCTCCAGTCTCCATCAAAGAAGGGAGGGAGGTACATTCATATATCTCTTCTTCAGGGTTCAATATTGGGCATTATAAGTACACAGCATTCAGTTTTGATTTTTTGTTGTTGCTATTCTGTAGAACGTCATAATTGGGTTTTTCTGCTTACTTCAGATTGTATCAGTTTGCATGGAGTCACCTCTGAGGTGGGGAAAGTGGGGGAAGAGGAAGCTTCTATTTGGCAGTTTCCTAATTTACCTAATTATTCTTGCTGACTAAGTACTAAACTCAGTTATTGCTATGCTGCGGAAGACCCGAAGGGGTTGTCAGCTCCCCTGACAAATTTATTACCCTGTAGCAAAGCTTCAGTTATCCCACCCCAGTTATAACTCTGAGTGGATGCATTACACAACCCCTTCTCAGGGTTGTTACTTTTTTTCCCTTCAGATTAAAGCATAATTGATGGTCTTCTTTCAGTCCTGCTCCTCTCTATCTAACCTAGTAATATTAATTCATAATCAATATTAATTAATATCTCTATCTCTATCTAACCTATGTCTTTAGACTTGTCATCTTGGGTGTCCTCTTTCTAGTTCTCCCCTATCCTCTATCCCTTCTCTTCTCCTGTTATACTGTCAGTTGTTTTCACAAACCTCCCTGTAATTTTCACATTGACTGGCACATTCTCATGTACCCCAATTTGTTTGTTCAGACATTCCTTAATCAATGGGCATCCATTTTGTTTCCAGTTCTTTCCTCCTACAAAAAAATGTTTTTATAAATATTTTGGTAAATATTGGACCTTTCTTTTTAATCTTTGGTCTCCTTGGGGTATAGGCCTAGGAATGAGATCTTTGGATCAAAAGGCATGGGCATTTTAGTCACTTTCTTTGCATAATTCCAAAATGCTTTCCAGAATGGTTGAACCAATTCACAGCTCCATCAACAACGCATTAGTGGGTAGCTAGATGGCACAGTGGATAGAGTACCAGTCCTGGAGTCAGGAAGACCTTAGTTCAAATCTGGTTTCCAACACTTAATAGTTGTGTGACCCCTGGGCAAGTCACTTAACCTCTGTTTGCCTCAATTTCCTCATTTGTAAAATGGAAATAATAATAGCATCTACTTCCCAGGGTAGTTGTGAAAATCAAATGAGATAACATTTGTAAAGTGCTTAGCACAGTGCCTGGCACATAATAAGTGCTATGTAAATGTTAGCTATAGCTTAGTATGCCTGTGTTTCTGTAGCCCCTCCAACATTAACTATTTCCATTTTATGTCATCTTTGCCAATTTGCTGGGTGTGAGGTATGAAATTTACATTTCTCTTATTAACAGTAATCTAGAACAATGTTTTATGTGTCTGTTAATACCTGTTATGTTTTATTGTATTTATTCATTATATTTTTAGAGCTGCTTACCTAGAAAGTGTCCACTTTAAAAAGAAAAAGCATATGAATCATTGATTGTGCTTCTTGGGTATGTGCAATTTTTTAGGCAGAACTCACCAAGTCTCAGAATGAATTTAAGATTGTCCTGAAAGAACTAGAAGACTCTTTGCTAGCCCGTCTATCTGCTGCATCAGGAAACTTCTTGGGAGACACAGCTTTAGTGGAAAATCTGGAGACAACCAAGCGTACAGCTAACGAAATTGAGGAGAAAGTAAGAAACCTTCTCTAGGAATGGCTTTTTTCCTTACAAACAGAGACCTAGGGTAAAAACTTATTTAAAATAAACTGTGAAATCCTAGAGTATGTTACCAAAGGAGAATCTCCTGATGAAATTGCAAAGAAAAGAGCAAACAAGTTGCTTGGGCTGGTGTGAGGGTAAAAGTGGGACCCAGGTGGCTTACCTACCTTCTTCAAATTCCATCTTACCTTTATTGTGCCTCCTTAGGAGTTTGAGAGACAGAGACAGTTTGGTATGGTAGAAAGAAATCTGTGTCTGTGACCAGAGAATCTTGGTCCAAATCCAAGGCAAGTTTCTTCGCTTTGCAAGTCTTGCTTTCCTTCCCTATAAAATCAGGCAATTAGTGGATCCTATTCCCTAATTGTAGCCAGGATTCTACAGGATATCTGACTTTTCAGATTCCTCTTCTGTAGGTTGGTTTCACTAAAGATTTTTTTTCTCCTTGCCTTGAGGTGAAAGAAGCAAAAGTTACAGAAATTAAAATCAATGAGGCAAGAGAAAACTACCGTCCAGCTGCAGAGAGGGCATCCATGCTGTACTTTATTCTGAATGATCTCAATAAAATCAATCCCATCTATCAGTTTTCACTAAAGGTACTGGCCTTAATCATCCTTCTTTGAGGCCCTGCCTGGGAGTTCTCAGAATTCAGTCATCTGTAATCAATGCTGGGGCTTACATAGTCCCATCTTGCAGATGAGGTTTGGAGAGGTGAATGACATGCCCAGCCACTGTGGGTCAGTGGTAGAAATAAGACTATTGTATTTCAAGTCTTGTCAGAACTGTTCCAACTCATGTGTGCACTCATGGTTCTAAGCCAAATTAACCTCCTAATTATGTCATTCCTTCTGGAATCTGATTTAACATAACACCATGGGCGGAGTAGGGCACCCCTTTTCTCTATAGGTAAACAGTGAGATGTTCGACCACCTCATTCCCTTCTCTGGTTTTACTATTTCCGGTCAGGCGTTTAATGTGGTCTTTGAGAAAGCCATTCAGCGGACCCTGCCAGCTGATGAGGTAAAGCAAAGAGTGATTAACCTGACAGATGAAATCACCTACTCTGTCTACATGTACACAGCTCGAGGACTCTTTGAGAGAGACAAACTCATTTTTCTGGCACAGGTTGCATTTCAGGTAATTTAAGACTCATTTGGGATTATTCCCAGTGAAACATCACTAACATCAACTCAGGAAGGTGAATCTAAAAACTAAACAGCTTAAATTCTAGAAAATTTTAAAATAAATACTCTATTTTTTTTAAAGTACATACCATAAATCTAAGAGAAAAAGCTTAACATAGTGGATAGAGGGCCAACCTTAGAGTCAAGAAGACCCAGGTTGAAAGTCCCACCCCTGACACAATCTAACTGACTATGGCAAGTCACTTGACCTTTCAGTGTGCTTGAGAAAGAAGTGAATGTGATCTGTTATCAGTACAGAGAGTTTCCATTACTGGGAGTGCCTCAAATTGATGACCTCAAGATGGTAGATCAGGGAAGAGGGTGGCAAGGAAATAACCAAAATTCTAACCAGCTGCTAACAAAGTGTTGCCAAGTCTAGTGCCTCTTTAAGGGAATAAATGGGTTTCATTTAAAATAAGCAAATAGCCCTATTAAATTAAACTAAATAAGCAAATAGCCCTATTATTATCTAAAGACAGTCTGTTGCATTACATAGGTTAAATGGTTCTCCTGCAATCTTATTTACATGGTAAATTTATTTAACAAAACTTTAAACTTCATAAATAGCGTGAATGTAGACTTGAACCCAAGCCTAAGATAAACAGCTCCATCTTTATGTTAGTGAGGCCCAATGAAACAATAATGAAAAACAAGTTCTGTTTGCTGGGGGTGAAATTAAAACTTTGCATTCCTGTCTGAATGTAACATTCATTAATTAGTTGTCACTTACCAGAACAGCATGCCTTCCTTCCCATACCCATAGTGTTTCCTGTCTGACTAAAAGCGGACTGTATGTCTGGGAAGTGGCCTTTTCCTGAATCAGAGATGAGGACCTTGTGGCCTGCCATCAGTGAGATGACAGGGATTGTGAACTCCTGGGACCCTGACTGTCCATCAGAGAACACTGTTAGCCCCAAATATACAGACGCGGTGCTAAGCGATACAGGAAAGTAAATCTGAAGTGACAGGGTCCCTGTCCTCCAGAAACACAGGCATAGATGGTGCAGGCCCAGACATACACAAGAGAAGGTATTTTCAGAAGCACAAGGGGAGGGGCAAGTGGAATGCTCTTACAACTAGTAAGAGATGTCTGTCTCTCAAAACCCTTGCCCTGTACCCAGTGACCTTGTGATTCTGCCAGGGATTTATCTTTTTAAAATAATGTCAGACATCCTCTGTTACTGTGACAACATAACCCTATGCTCACTCATATTTCCTCAGGTTTTATCAATGAAGAAAGAACTGAATCCAGTTGAATTGGATTTCCTCTTGCGATTCCCTTTTAAGGCTGGGATCCCTTCACCTGTGCATTTTCTATTATCTCAAGGATGGGGAGGGATTAAGGTTTGTCTAAAGTCTTAGAAACACTATATACATCCTTCACTTAGTAAAAGCTTTTCCCGTTGAGTCTGAGTGTGTTAATGAGATTAGATTGCCAAAAGTTATTGGCCTGTGGAATTCAGTTATAGCAAGGAAACCAGAGATGATGATGAAAAACAGTATTTACAGTTTTTATTTACTGCTGGCAAAATTAAAATTTTTCATTCCTATTTTGAATATAACATTTATTAAATCCCTATAATGTACCAGATGTTTATACTGGCCGAGAAAGGGATAACTTCCTGGCAGGCTGAGATCACCCCCAGGATGTTGGACCACATGGCATTATCCACATGGCTCTTTCCCAACCCACACTCCCACCACCAACCACTGCCCTAGTAAAATACATAGAGTAAAGGTTATCCCCAGACCTCACTGTCTTTGGGGCTAATGCTGGACCTCAACATTCTAGAGTTTTTTAAATTATAGAATAGAATGTCTGAACTAGAGAGGGTCATTTATCCAGATGATAATTTCTTGTGGTGTCAAAGAAATCTAGATAAAGAGAAGTTAGTGAACTGTTGAATTCACAAGTTGGAGATCACAGTCTATTGGAAGAGTCCTGTTGTCTAATCCATATGAAGAGGGGACCAAAATTCCCCTCTACTTACCACATTTGTCTCAGGTAGCCATCTTGTCTTTGTTTAAAGCTTTACCATGAAGAAACATCCACTACTTCTGGAGGAGGTTATTTCTACTTTTGGTTAACTCTAATTGTGAAGAGGAGGCAGTGGGTAGCTCAGTGGATATAATGCTGGGCCTGAAGTCAGGAAGACTTGATTTCAAGTCTAGCCTCAGACATTTCCTAGCTGTGTGACCCTGGGCAAGTCACTTAACCTCCGATTGCCTGACAAAATGGATCCACCAGAGAAGGAAATGGCAAACCATTCCAGTATCTTTGCCAAGAAAATCCCAAATAGGGTCACAAAGGGTCAGGCACAACTGAAGCAACTGAACAACAACAACTGTGAAGAGCCTAAATTTGCCTGTCTTAACTTGCACTCATCATTCTTAGTTCTGGCTTCTAGGGCCAAACAGAGCAAATATAATCCTTTACACATGATATTCATCTAGCTGTGCCTCCTCTGCTTTGAAACTGATTTCCTGAATTCAAATATATTACTACATTTATCCCTACTTTAATGTCAACTTATTAGAATAGACCCAATATTATAGGCTACTAAGATATCTTTGGATACTGGATTTAACCGTCTCCCCAACTCTCATGTCACTTGTATGCCATCTATGCCTTCATCCACATCATTGCTAAAAATATGAAATGACACAAGACTAAGCACAGATCCCTAGAATACCTTTACACTAGAGGTCTCTTTCAAGGTTGATCCATCAACAACTACTTTTTGGGTCAGTCTATTCAGTGTTTCAGATCCACATTTTCCCACCTTGTCTAAAAGAAGAGCGTAAGGGACTTTCCCAAATGCTTTGCTGAAATCTCAATAAATTCTATCTACAACATTCCACTGTTCTACCAGATCATTACTTCTTTTCTAAATATTGCCTACCCATTCCTTTAATAATATGCTATAGAATTTTATCAAGAATCAATCACACTCACTAGACCTGGCTTCCCCTTCTTGAAAATCGGGAGTGTTTTGTACTTCTTGCCCCTGTGTGGAATTTTTCTGTTCTCTATAATCTTGCACAGCTCACTGATGGTGGTTTAGCAATCATATCACTCACTTCTCTATAATACTCTGTAATGTAGCTTGTCTGAGCTTAGTGACTTCTCCCTACTTATCTTGGTTTTCAACTTCTTATTAACCATTTTTGTTCTCTCCTATCCAGTCCAATGATTATCCTCCTTGGCAGGGAAACAAGGCAAAGGAAGTAGTTGTGTTTTTTCTTTGTTGTCTGTTATCATTATACCATCCACCACTAGCAGCAGTCTTCACCATCTTTTCCCTCAATGATAGCTTAAACCCAACATTTTATTCTCCTTAACATTCTGAGTTCACTCTGGCTCCTTTGGCAATTTGGTGTGCCTGATACTATTTTCATAGGACAAAGCCTTGGTTTTGTATTTATCTTCTATTACCCTTGCTTTTCAATCTCCTTTATACAGGACTTATGAAATATTTAAGTGGATTGATGAGTTGCCTGTGAGTTCATGGCAGTCTCTTTAGATAACTTTTTTTTTCCACTTTACCAAAATAGTTTCTCTTTGGGTTTTCATATTTTTATTCTTCCTGGGCTACTTTCCCTTGTTGAACTTCAATCCAGTATAATTAAATTCAACAAACTTTTAATAAGTACAAGGTACTATGCCAGGAACAGGAGATACAAAGGCAAAATGGAAACAGTTTCTCCCCTCGAGGAGTTAGCATTCTATATATCGGGTACACATGTAAAGTTCTTCTGGGGCTCTCCAAACTCATTTTCAGGTTAAATTTCCAGGAATGACTTCTCTAGGTTCAAGGCCATCAATAGTTCCATATTCCTATGGTTATAGTTCATAAGCCCCAATTGGTGTCTTAACTTTTAGTAGTCAGCCAGAGGACACAACTAGCTTTTACCTCACAAGACTATTATGAGGATCAAATGATATAATGTATATAGTACTTCACAAATATTAAAGTGCCATATAAATATCTGCTATTATTATTTCCTGACATGAGTACATCTTAATATACAGTGCTACCCCACATACCACTTGTTTATCTGTCCAATTCCTTTTTTTCTTCCTTTTTTTTTTTTTTTTTTGGAGGTCGTCAGAGTTAAGTGACTTATCTGGGGTCTTACAAG